CATCCCACAAGACAGCCGTGTTTATAATCCTCGCCTTGAGAACCTGATATCTCACTTTACAACAATTTTTGAATAAACTTAAAGCAATTAGCAGTGTTTTAAACTAATATTCCTTACAAAATGTAGATAGTATTTTTTAGTCACATCGAAAATTAGTAATATTTGGAATCTAATTATTATTATAAATGACGAATTTATTAAATTTTCAATTTTTCAATTTCTTGTTACTTGTTTTATTGTTTTTATCACGTCTATAACACGTGCACATCCGGTGCACATTCCATCACAGCGAAACCGAGTAACTTGCTAGTCTTATTCCAACTGAAAGCATTTTATTGCTAAGCCAAGGACAACGAAAATTACTGCTGTGTCAAACCGTGATCACGTTACCTTACACAAACTCCGTGTTGCACAGACCTTCTCCAAAAGCTGACAGTCTCTCAGCTAGTCAACATATTCGCAATCCGAAAGTTCTTTGCGATGTTCGCAAAATCCCGCCACCGGTCCCTGTCCTCAGACAGTACACACACTTTAACTTCTATTACCTCACGATTCATTTTAATATTATCTATATTATTCAAAGGACCTAAGCTCTGATCAATAAATGTAACGAACAGCCAGCGATACGTGTTGAAACATTTTCTTCGTCTGCTAATTTTAACTTAGCTTTGATGCCTGTTATTTAAAACATGTGTTTTAAAATATTTTCTTCGATTATTTTAAATCAACTGCAAAATATAAAGAGACGAGATAGAGTTTTGGATTCGTAAGCAAGTGGTCATGGTTAAGACAATTCTTTTGTTTCACGCTGTACAAAGAATTACTACAAAAAAAAATATTTTTTTCGTAAATGTGTTACCGTACATCATTGTATACATGGCGTTAGTATTTCTCACGCTTCATAAATTCGTTCGCGCTCAATTGTTGATTTTATCGATTGCGGAAAATTAAAGTGTACGAGTTTTAGCCTCCATACCAGATTTCATCCAGATCCGACCAGCTGTTCTCGAATTGAATCATGTGGACAGACAGCCATGCACATCTCGCAAAGAAAACACAACAAACACTACAAAACGGGGAATTTCTTGATTAGCTGAGGAACTATCAGCTTCTCAAGAAACAGTGTTCAATTAACTTCGTTGGTATTTGGAGCTGGGAAGACAGTGACTTGACACTTGTGACAAAATCCAACATGAAACTTCCTGGAGCTGTAGTAAAGAGGGAATGGGGAGGAATTCTGGGACTTGTTTTACCTCAGACCCTCCCTGTTAGTTGGTGATCTCCATTGAATTGTTTCATCGGAAGCAACGATTTCATTTCAGCTCAGAATCACTATCAAAGAATCAAATCTATTCCTAGTCTGCCAACTGTGGGTTACTTTTATGCGATTGGGCAGCTTGAAAGACAGCATTCGTACTTAAAAGTATAAGTGGCATATGTCAAGGCCAAAATACTATTTTTATATAAACCTATAACAAGGCCGATAAGCTTAATCTTGTACACACTAGATGACACTTCGACATTCGCCATCTCAGGACATATTTTTCCAATTCAGTGTTTGCATTTCCCTCTATTATTTTAATTCATTTTAAACTCTTCTAATCAAACAGTTACATGACATAAAGGCTCGTGCAACTGAATCCAGCAACATTGTTTCAAAAAAAGTAATTAGTGTAACGTAATGGGTACTTTAGATAAATAAACTTTTAGCCTGGTTAATATTCGAAGCTTTGACTGTACACAGTGAAAGATGAACACTTCTTGCATAATAACACCCACTTCATCGCTCTGAAACGTCGGACAATTTCTACGAGACTACACGGTGCAGTATCCGATAAGACAGCCATTTCCGTTGTAGAACTGCATCGAGATGAATTTTCTTATCTTCCTGAATAGAGCTTAGATTATGATAATTTTAAAGTGTCTCGGTCGATTCGTTATAACTTAGAATTATGAAATTTCCGGGTTCGAATATCGATACTTAAAATTATCCGTGACTTTCCTCAACGCCTCTAGGAATAAATTCTAAAAAAAAAAAAAAAAGAGTCGAACACAGAATCAATCAACCCAGCGAAACCGTTTTGTACACATAAAACATCTGTCTACAATTCTATAACAAATTCAAAACTTATCATCATTTATGCAGTATCACCACAGCAACCGACATGTCCACTTCGATTAATGAATTCAAAACACAAGTCACAAATGAACGCACAGGGGCACAGTTAAGCAAGTCGTATCAGGCAAGACAGCGCTGTGGTCAGGTTGGACTTATGCCACTAATGCAGGCACACCTCTTAAGGACAGCTGTCTACTAAAAATCAAGAAGTCCCGGCACGTGTTGTAATAATAATTGTGGGATAGCCAAGTTGCCAAGTCGAACAATTGTAACCATTCTCAGTCCAAACGGAAATGATAAAACAGGGTAACACGAACAGACTTAACACTGGTGAGTTAACGGATTGAAGTACAAGTAGTAGGATTTGAGGCGATGATCGCCCTGATGATGGAGGCAGTATAACCTCCGAAACGTCGGTAAACATCGATCAGACTACACGGCGCAACAACCCAGAAGATAGAAATCTTCATACTCTGATGACGGAGGCAGTATGACCTCCGAAACGTCGGTAAACATCGATCAGACTACACGGCGCAACAACCCAGAAGATAGAAATCTTCATACTCTGATGACGGAGGCAGTATGACCTCCGAAACGTCGGTAAACATCGATCAGACTACACGGCGCAACAACCCAGAAGATAGAAATCTTCATACTCTGATGACGGAGGCAGTATGACCTCCGAAACGTCGGTAAACATCGATCAGACTACACGGCGCAACAACCCAGAAGATAGAAATCTTCATACTCTGATGACGGAGGCAGTATGACCTCCGAAACGTCGGTAAACATCGATCAGACTACACGGCGCAACAACCCAGAAGATAGAAATCTTCATACTCTGATGACGGAGGCAGTATGACCTCCGAAACGTCGGTAAACATCGATCAGACTACACGGCGCAACAACCCAGAAGATAGAAATCTTCATACTCTGATGACGGAGGCAGTATGACCTCCGAAACGTCGGTAAACATCGATCAGACTACACGGCGCAACAACCCAGAAGATAGAAATCTTCATACTCTGATGACGGAGGCAGTATGACCTCCGAAACGTCGGTAAACATCGATCAGACTACACGGCGCAACAACCCAGAAGATAGAAATCTTCATACTCTGATGACGGAGGCAGTATGACCTCCGAAACGTCGGTAAACATCGACCAGACTGCACGGCGCAACAACCCAGAAGACAGCGATCTTCTGAAATACACGAATTTGTAACTAATTTCTTCAAAAGCTAACATTTGTACATTTAATCAAGAATTTACCTGCTTTTATGGAATTCTAAAATTCATTTGGCGTGTTTACGACAGATCACAGCCAGTACCGATTCTATGCCAGATGAATTCAATATAAACCTTCACAACATCGTTTCTTCAAAGTCTGTTTTAATCTTGTTCTCTCAGAGATGTCATGCAAATGTCCTCTTTCTCGTGGTTTTACAACCAAAATTCTGTACCCTTGCATCAGCTATCATCGCCCTCGTGTGTCAAATATCAAAACATCCTCCTACGTCATTTTCCTCAATCTGATCATCACTGGTGAAACGTGAAGCTCCTGTCGCAGACGTTCATTATACACCCAGTGGCACGTGGTCCGGTTTATATAACGCTAATGTACATAAAGATAATACATAATGTTATATAAATCTCCAAGGTTAGTATGTTAATCAGCCAATAACAGCCAACTACTTGTATCACTGGTTGATTTCAGACAGTTGTTCTGAAATATTTGACACAATTTTATTTCAGCATTTTTTAGCAGAAAAATTTAGTAATGTGACGTGGAGTAACGACG